CTTCGGCGGAGGCCGCGGGAGTGGCGGTTACGGCAGCGACGACAAGAGCTACGGACGCGGTCGCGGCCGATTCGACGGCGAGTGTCACTATTGCCACAAGAGCGGACACATGTGGCGCGACTGCTACAAACTCCCTGATGGTTGGACCCCTGCTCAAGGCCAAGAGGGTAGAGGAGCAGGAGGAGGGAGAGGAAGAGGCCGTGGAGGCCGTGGCGGTCGCGGTGGCGGAGCTGCAAACATGAAGAGCGGAGACAACGACAAGGACCCGAGCAACGATCGGTACCCGGGTCTATTCTACTTCGTGTCGACGCAAGTACCGACTGGTCCAGAGAAGGATGAAGGCTTTGAGGAGCCAGCAGCTGTGGGGAAGGTGACTCTACACCCTCTGGACTATTGGGTGATCGATAGTGGCGCTACCTATAGCATGACACCTCGCCCGGACTTGCTCACCGAACTCGAACCGTCACCGGTGAAGCATGTCACATCAGCTTTGGGGCAGCAAGCGGAGGTGAAAGGCATGGGCAAGGCCATGTTTAAGGGTGCTGATGGGAAGATGGTGGGCCTCAAGAATGTGCTTTGGGTGCCCAGCCTTGCTGCCAACCTGATTTCCGTGCGGCGGTTGGCAAAGGCCGGCATGGACACGAACTCAAAGGGAGCCAAGACCTACACCGCAAGGCTTGGCGATCGGATTCTATGGGACCTTCATGAGGACAGAGATGTCTACAACGAGATGTGGCAGATCCCTGTGGTCCCAATGCCTAAGGAGAGGCAAGTGGCAGCAAGCGTCAGCACCAAAGGTGGAGCGGTTGGTAGCGGCGATTGCGCGGACGGTCGCGCTAAGGAGAAGGAGTCCAAGAAGTGCAATCTTGGAGGGACCAGCAAGCTTGGTGAACCTATGGAGAGAGGTGCAGCAGCCAAGGAGCAGCAAAAGGGTGAGAAGAACCCCGAGGCAGCAGCGGAGGAGGACTACGGAGAGAGTATGTGGGGCGCTATTGCGAGCGCGGCATTCTCCAATCCAACTTCGGCTACGGGGGAGTGTGATTGGCTCACCTTGCATCGGCGCATGGGGCATGTGGCCCTGCCCATCTTGCAGCAGCTAGTAAAGAATGAGATGGTTGCTGGCATACGTGTGAAGGGGGAGCCCGATGAGGTACTTGGCTGCCCGACGTGCATGCAAGCCAAGTTCACCCGTTTCCCATTCTCTAGTTCGGAGTCAACGGCTAAGGCACCACTTGATGAGGTGGTGATGGACGTGGTGGGCCCCCTGAAGCTTGGAGCTGCTGGAGCTGAGTACTTCCTCACTATTGTGGACGTCTACACCCGTATGACTTGGGTGTACGTGCTGGCCAAGAAGAGCGACGTGGCTGAAACGTTGAAGGCGGATTGGTTCCCGATGGTGGAGCGGCAACAAGACCGTCTAGTCAAGTCAATCCGCACCGATCGAGGAGGAGAGTTCCTGAGCAAGGAGTTTGGGTTGTGGCTGAAGAAGAATGGTATTCGGCACTCCCTCACCATGCCATACTCCCCTGCAATGAACGGCACCGAGCGAGCGAACCGCACAATCACGGAGGCGGCACGCGGGTTGCTCATTGAAGCCGGGCTACCCGACTATTTCTGGCCTGATGCGGTGCGGAGCGCGTGTGTGGCCAAGAACCGAGCCTTGACTCATGTGGGAGCAGACAAATGGGTGCCCTATGTGGAGTGGCTAGGAAGGAAGCCAAAGGTGGATATGCTTCGGGTGTTCGGGTGCATGTGCATGGCGCTCGTGCCTAAGCATCTTCGGCACAACAAGCTTGGTGCCAAGGCGGTGTGGGCCGTGCACTTGGGCATGGCTCAAAACAGCAAGGGATGGCTTCTTTGGGACCCATTCACCAAGACGTTCTTGGTGAGCAGGGAATGCAAGTTCATGGAGAACTTCATGTACAAAGATTGGAAGGCGGAGAATGAGGCGAAGATAGGCGTGCGGTTCGGGGAGGTGAAGAGTTCCGGTTTGGAGCATGTGGAGCTGCCTTTGGAGCTGAGCAGCGGCAGCACAACCACAAGGCAATCCTCCCTTGTGAATGGGGGAGAGGAGGCCAATGATGCAGAGGAAGAAGAGGAGGAGGTGCAGCAAGTGAGCGAGCGTGCACCGTCACTCCCTTCCCGTACTACGAGTGCTCCACGGATTCGAGCCACACCGCAGCAACGCCAAGGCCTTCAAGTCCCTGCAGATGAGGAGGAAGGAAGGGGCAAGAGGAGAGTTCAACCCCCTAATAGGCTGACCTATGATGCGCTGGGAAAGCAAGGCAAGACAGCCCTGGCCGGAGCGGCAATGATGGTCGGAGACGACGAGGAGAGTGACTACGAGGAGTGTGCCTTCGCGTTCTTCTCTCCGGTGGAGATGCCGGGAGAACCAGCAACTCTCAAGGAGGCTTTGGAGAGTAGTGATGATGAGGAGTGGAAGAAGGCCATGGAGAGTGAGCTGAAGAGCATCAAGGAGAATGACACGTTTGAATTGGTGGAGCTACCGGAGGGGCGTACGGCGATAACGTCCAAGTGGCTCTTCAAAATCAAGTCGGATGCCGACGGCAAGATCGAGCGCTACAAGTCTAGGCTTGTAGCCAAGGGGTACCAGCAGAAGGAGAAGGTGGACTTCAAGGAGCTGTTTGCCCCTGTGGTGAAGCCGACGACGCTGCGAACCCTATTCGCGGGAGCCGCCATCAAAGGATGGGTAGTAAAACAAATGGACATCGTAACGGCATTCCTTAACGGCATCCTTGAGGAGGAGATTTTTATGGCGCAGCCAGAGGGGTTTGATGATGGTAGTGGCAGAGTGTGGAAGCTGAAGAAGGCCCTCTATGGGCTGAAGCAGGCCCCTAGGCAATGGTACATGAAGCTGCGCGAAGTGTTGGAGGGGATCGGCTTCACTCCCTCAACGGCCGATCACTCCTTGTTCATGCTTGGCGAGGGGGAGCAGAGGAGCTTCATGGTGGTTTATGTGGATGACATTCTTATATTCTCACCCTCCTCTGACCTTGTGAAGGACGTGATGCTGAAGCTGCATGACAAGTTCAAATGCAAGTCCCTTGGTGACGTGAACTTCTACCTTGGGCTCCACATCGAACGAGACGTGGAGAAGCGGAGCATGCGAGTGCACCAACGGAAGTACCTGGAGGCGTTGGCTGCCAACTTTGGCCAGAGTGAAGGTCATGTAGCTACTCCCTTTCCCTCTGGGTTCAAGTGTGTGAAGGGACCAGAGGAGGAGAGCGTTGGAGAAGAGGAGAGGCGCCGATTTCACTCGTTAGTGGGCAGCCTCATGTATGCGGCGGTAAACACCCGACCGGACGTCGCGTTTGCTACCGGGCAGCTGGCTAGGGTTGTGCAATGCCCTAATGAGGAGCAGGTATTAGCTGGAATGAGGGTGGCCAAGTATCTTGGCCAAACACCGACCGTTGGGCTGCAATACTCGGCGGCGGCACAAAGGCGCCAAAAGGGCGCGGATGGTGTTGAACCCGGGCGTTTGTTCCTCACCGCCTACTCGGATGCGTCATATGCATCGGAACCAGAGGACATGACAAGTGTGGGAGGCTTCATATGCTGTGTTGGTGGAGGCCCAACTGCTTGGGAGAGCAAGAAGCACGTTGACCAAGCTTTGAGCTCGGTGGAGTCCGAGTACATGGCACTCTTCCGTGCCGTACGGGAGATTGTGTGGCAGCGGCGTTTGTTGGCTGAATTGGGGGAGGAGCAGCAAGGACCTACCCCACTCTACTGTGACAGCCAGGGTGCCATTGCTCTTGCTAAGAACCCTGTGTTGCATGGACTCACAAAGCACATGAGGGTGAAGTGGCATTGGACGAGGAGCATGGTGACCGCGGGTGAAGTTGAGTTGCGGTACGTGAAGACGACGGGGCAGCCGGCTGACATGATGACTAAGAGGCTGGTGGAGCAGCAGCATTGGAAGTGTTGCAAGCTGGCTGGGATGGCTCTGAACTGAGAGAGCAACATATCCTAAGGCCAACAATCCGAGGGGGAGTTTGTTGGTGCAACCCTACGGTTTGCACTCGGCTTGTTGTCCGTGTGCGTGCATGTGTGTGTGTATGGAATGGTATGAGGGCATGGGATAATATATATTTCATGCTTATAATTGTGTGTGAATGTTGAGTCATGATGTCGAGTGTGTGTGTCGAGTCAATAGCGAGTTATCGCTAGACGCGTGTTACGCGGTCGTTTGTGTCTCGCGCGCGGTTTTTATTTTTGTCGTGCGCGGTTTCTATTTTGTCCTGTGTCGAACGTTCGGTGTGTCGCAGGTGTGTGCAGCAGACCCATCAAGAACTCAAGGATGAGTTTGTGATGAAGAGCCCGAGCCTTGGTGTCAAGCCTCAAGTGATTTCGAAGCTCGCCAAAAGGGTACACCTCAAGATATTGAAGATAGTTACATTACTTTGTGTAGTGTAACATTTCACTTGGTGTAGGCCCTAGTGAAGGGTAGTTTCGAGACCCTTCGTGGTTGGGGACAGTGTGGCACTGTTCCACATCACTATACCTCGGCTCTTGGGGTTTGTAGGAGCTGGGAGTCATTCCCAACTCGTAACTCTTCATATCTCTTCCTATTTTGTGTTCTAAGACTATAGTGGCTGCCATAGTGCCGTTCGTTCAAACCAACACTGTGTCGTCAATACTTGGTGAAATTGTGCGATCTAAATTGCCTATTGTAGGCGACGTTCAGACGCTCTAGATCCAAGTTGAATCAGGTCATTTGAAGTTGTGACCAGAATGCTATGAACGTTTGAAGCCGCTGTGCAGAAATCCGGCTGTGCACTCTATCTTTCGTTTTAGGCACATTGGAGCCTATTGTGACTATAACAGCTTATGCAGCAGCCCATGCTGCCCTTTGCTTATGCAGCAGCCCATGCTGCCCTTTGCTTATGCAGCAGCCCATGCTGCCCTTTGCTTATGCAGCTGCCCATGCTGCCCTTTGCTTATGTAGCAGCCCATGCTGCCCTTAGCTTATGCAGCAGCCCATGCTGCCCTTTGCTCATGCCACCCATGCTACCCTTCGCTCAGTGCTGCTGCCGCCCACATGCTGCTCTTTGCCCAGTGCTACCCATGCTTCCTGCGAGTGTGCGTCCATGGAACCATGTCCTCTTCGCCCCACTCCTTCTCACCATCATGTCCTCCCCTCCCCCCCCAACCCTTCCCCCCCCCTCCTTGCCCTCTCTCCCCCCCGTGCCAACTGCTGCTGCGCGCCCAGGGATCTGAGCTACAACTTCTTCAAAGTGAGCCTCGACACCTGGGTGGCGCCCCTCAAGCTCTCCACCAGCCTGCTGTCGCTGTGAGTGCCTTGCCCGCCTGCTGTCGCTGTGAGCGCCTTGCCCGCCTGCTGTCGCTGTGAGCGCCTTGCCCGCCTGCTGTCGCTGTGATTGCCTTGCCCGCCTGCTGTTGCTGTGAGTGTCGTACCCCGTACCAACTTGCTGTCGCTGTGAGTGCCGTACCCCGTACCAACTTGCTGTCGCTGTGAGTGGCTCGCTTGCGGAGGGAGGATGATGTCAGCCTCTCCTCTCTCACCACTCTCCCCTGCCCCCCCTCTCTCTCCCTGCCCTGCCTGCAGGCGCCTCAACAACAACTATTTCTTCGGCTCCGTGCCCCTCTTCCTCGTCTCCTTCTCCAAGCTCCCCAACCTGTCAGTGCCCCACCCAACCCACCCAATCCACCCTACCCACCCAACCCACCCAACCCACTCAAACCACCCTGCCCCACCACCCTGCCCCACCCTGCCCCACCCTGGCACCCTGCCTTCTCCTCCCAAGTCAACCTCATCTACCCCTATCTTCGTGCCGTTCCCCATTTTTTTGCTATCCGCCATCCCCCCTGCTCCATTCTTCTCTTACATCTGATCTGCCATGTGGTCCCGGCTCCACCGTGTCAGAATAATATATAATTCTATATATTGTTTTGTAACTGCCTGTAGTGTAGACTACTGTAGTCATCTAACTTTCTGTTTGGTGGTGCACCTTTCTTCATTCTTGCCTATTTGTACTGCTCGCTCTATAGTGAAACCACTCTTTTGTTGCAATCTTCTCGACTCACCCAAACTCACTCGAACTCAACTACTCGACCTACTAGCTATGGCTCCTAAGCCTTCCTAGTACCTTAACATGTTATCAGAGTGACCAAGGTCCTCACCTGTGTGCCTACCCTAAAGCTTCCGCTGCTAATCTGTGTTCGGCACGCCCCGTGACGTGCCCCTGGCCCTACGGCCCCGTCGCCTTCCTACGGCCCTACGGCCCCGTCGCCTACCTACGGCCCTACGGCCTCGTCGCCTACCTGCGGCCCTACGGCCCCGTCGCCTACCTGCGGCCCCGGCCCCGTCGCCTACCTGCGGCCCTACGGCCCCGTCGCCTACTTGCGGCCCGGCCCCGTCACCTACCTGCGGCCCCGGCCCGTCGCCGCCCTCGGTTGCGGCCCCGTCGCCGCCCTCACCTGCGGCCCCGTCGCCGCCCTCACCTGCGACCCGTCGCCGCCCTTAATTGCGGCCCCGCCGCCCTCACTTGCGGCCCCGCCGCCCTCTGTTGCGGCCCCGTTGCCGCCCTCAGTTGCGGCCCCGTCGCCGCTCTCACCTGCGGCCCGTCGCCGCCCTCAGCTGCGGCCCCATCGCCGCCCTCACCTGCGGCCTCGCCGCCCACATTTGCGGCTCCGCCGCCCTCCGTTGCGGCCCTGTCGACTACCTTGCGGCCCCGGCCCCGTCTCCTATACCTGCGGCCCCGCCACCTGAGGCCCCGATGTCACCTGCGGCCGCGCCACCTGAGGCCCCGTCGCCACCTGCGGCCCCGCCCACCCTTGCGGCCCCGTCGCCCACTTCAGCCCCGCCCACTTGCGGTCCCGACCCCGCCCCGGCCATGCCTCGTCACCAGCTGCGGCACACCGGGGGCACGTGCACCGCCCCCCCCCTTCTTCCCGTCACCTGTCACGGCGACCTGAAATGGGGGGGCAGGCGTCGCCCCCTCTGCCGCCTGCTTTGGCGCCCGGGGAGGCCGTGCGTCGCCCCCCCCCCCCCCCCCCTTCTCCTCCTCCTTTTGTTCCCTCTGCTGCAGCTGCCGCTGGGGGGGAGGGTGTGAGGGTGTGGGGGAGCCCGGGGAGGGACTGGGGGTGGCGGGTGTGGGGGTGATGGGTGATGTGTGGTCTCCCCTTCCCATCCTCCTCCGTTTGCCCCCCTTTGCTGCTCCTGCAGCAGTGTGGGGGGGAGGGGGAGGGGGAGGGTGAGGGGATGTAGGGGGTGACCAACCAGAACCTACCACCTCCTCTCCTCTCTCTCCCTCTCTCTCTCCTCCTCCTTGCCTGCCCTCTCCCGTTCTGCTGCGCACTCTGCCTCGTGTACCCCATTATGGGGGCGTTGACTGCACATTCTTCCCTACAGGCACTTATGGGGGCGTGTCAGAAAAATATATAATTCTATATATTATTTTGTAACTGCCTGTAGTGTAGACTACTGTAGTCATCTAACTTTCTGTTTGGTGGTGCACCTTTCTTCATTCTTGCCTATTTGTACTGCTCGCTCTATAGTGAAACCACTCTTTTGTTGCAATCTTCTCGACTCACCCAAACTCACTCGAACTCAACTACTCGACCTACTAGCTATGGCTCCTAAGCCTTCCTAGTACCTCAACACACCGCTGCTCCCCACCACCCTACCTGCAGCAAGCTGAACTTGGACGCGCTCACCGGCACATTCCCCGCACCCATCTCCACCGCACTGAAGCGCCTGCTGGTGGACCGGAACTTCATGGCAGGCACGTTCCCGGCCAACAGCGCCACGTACTACACGGCTTTTGGCAACTGCATCGGCTCCTACACAACATGCAACTCGCTGTACCCCAACTCGCCCGTGTCCAACTGCAATATCTGCGGCATGACCAACGCGCTGGGCACGGCGTGCATGGGCAACCCATGTGTGCCCATGACGCCCTCGCCCATCACAGCCACCAACAGATGGGACCCCATGCCCACCATGCGCTGTGACCCCGTGCCCATCCAATCCACTCAAGGTACCCCACCCACTGCGTAAATGTAACCAACTTGAGTGATTTAACTCACCCAGGGTAACCCACTCAACAGCTGTTGGCCATCCCATGAGCCTTGAGCCGCTCAGCAACTGTCTCAGCTCCGTGTCTCGCGTGTCTCAGCTCCGTGCCTCGCGTGTCTCATATGAGCTGCCCCTACCACACCCTCTCTCCCTCACTCATGTTTTGTGGAGCGTGTGTTGCGTCCTCTCTTCTCTCCCTCACCCCTGCGAGGATGACGTATTCTCTCAACCACGAGTGGCACCCTCTCAAGCACACCCTCAGCTTCAGGCTTCATGCATGACTTGCTCCCTCATGCACAAATCGTCTTCACCTCCCCACTTTTGGAGAAGCTTAAAACTGGCACCTTCAAGCACACACCTTGCACCTTCATGCATGGCTTGCCCCGCATGTTCAAGTCCTCACCGCCTCCGCTCTCCCCACCGTGTGTGGCAGCGGCGGCGCTGGTGGCGATGGCACCGGGGCTGTGGACCCAGCCAATGTGCACCATAGCAGGGCAGGCGGCCATACCCGGCACCCTGCCCGTGGTCTTCTGCAACCCCGCCGGCATGGTCCTCGACATGTATGCCCGCCACACTTCCCCCTTCCCCCCCCCCTCTCCCCCCCTCTCCCCTCGCGAGTTGTACTTCGAGCCGACCAGGAATTCATTTGTTGTGTTGTGTAAATAATGTATGGCGGCCTTTTTTAGAGTTCTCAAGCACCCCCCTGCTGTCCCCGCTTGCTCGACCCGCCCGCCTCTCTGTCTTGCAACCGCACGTCCGCTCCCTTCACACGTGCATACTTGTGATGTGATGAGGGTGCATGCCCCATGCCAGCCTCATGCATGGAGGCTGCTGTAAAGCCAGCCGAGCACATCGTGTGTTCACAATTGTACCGAGCGTGATTGCCACCATCCCCTTTCAAACCACTTGGGGGGTCACACGTGCGGCCCATCATCTTTTGAGACGTCTGAAAGGCGTTGGCATGATGGCCCATGACGTGGTGGAGCCATTATCTGATGATCCCACCCACCTGGGCGGGCGGGCGGGCTCCACCATCTTGCATGCTCGTCCTCGCAACTATATCCAGAATGTCTTGTCGGAAATCTCATCTTCATCATTCTGACTTTTCTGTGCATGTATGCCACGTTGGATGGCACTCCTCCCCTGTGTGCCACGTGGGATGGCACTGCTCCCACGTGCCACGGTGTGTCTGACAGTGTGCTCACGGGAGTCAAAGCTACCGGCTTCTTTCCCACCGACTCCTCCAAGCTCACTGCACTCACCAAGCTGTAAGCTCACTGCACTCACCAAGCTGTAAGCTCACTGCACTCACCAAGCTGTAAGCTCACTGCGCTCACCAAGCTGTAAGCTCACTACACTCACCAAGCTATAAGCTCACTGCACTCACCAAGCTGTAAGCTCACTGCACTCACCAAGCTGTAAGCTCACTGCACTCACCAAGCTGTAAACTCACTGCACTCACCAAGCTGTAAGCTCACTGCACTCACCAAGCTGTAAGCTCACTGCACTCACCAAGCTGTAAGCTCCACGTGCCAGCCACACCATTCCCATCATACGCCACGCTGTTCACACTGCAATGCCATCTGTGCCCGTGCATTCCTCTCGAATGTCAACCGCTCAACTGACACGAACGAGCGTATATGCATGTGTGTCGTGGTGCCGTGTGCCAGGGACCTGTCCGTCAACCTCTTCTCAGGCCGCCTCGACACCTTCCTCGCGCCCTTCCTTCCTCTCAAGTCCCTCCTCTCCCTGTAAGCTACCCCCCAGCTCTATGAGAATCACATGTCCTCTCTTTCCCCATTCTCCCGCTGTTGCTCTGCCTGCCTGCACTCCTTTTGACCGTTCTCTGCATGCAGTTTTCTCATCCCCTCTCTGCCCGCATGCCTGTCGCCCCCGTGCCTGCCATGCACCGCAGGCGGCTGCACCAGAACTACTTCTCAGGCTCCTTCCCGGCCAACGTCACCGCCCTCTCTGCCCTCACAGAGCTGTAAGCCCCTGCCCTCATCACCCTCCATAAGCCCTACTCCCGCCTCATGCCCCATCAACGCATTGTTTTCCCCCCATCATAACCGTCCACGTTAACTCCTCGTTTCCCCATCTCTCCTCTCCTTGTTTCCCGCCCCTCTTGTCCGCATCCCGCACATGCACCAATCCCTGTGCACCGCTCTCCACCACTCCCCACCGCTGGGGCACGGCAATGCAGGCGCTTGAACCTCAACTACCTCACAGGAAGCATGCCAGCAGCCCTGCCAGCGACCCTCAAGGCAATCGACCTGTCGAGCAACTACCACCACGGCCACCTTCTGTAGCTGCGCCAGCAACTGCCTGCAGGACGCCTCCAAGTGCCCCAGCGGCACGGCCCAGCGCGTCGCTCCCGGCTGCGCCATCTTCTTATGTTCCTGCTGCTGCTGCATCTCCCCCGCTGCTTCTGTAGCTTCTGTTGTGGCTGCTGTTGCTGTTGCAAGCAACCAGGGGCGACCAGGGGCGGCGCTGCTGAACATGAGGGCATCTCTGGGAGTGACGTACACGGACTGCTGCCTCTGTGTCTGTCTCCTGCCATTCCTCCCCTCCCTCTCCCCCTTCCTCCATTCACCACCAGGGGTGGCGCTGCTGAACATGAAGGCATCGCTGGGAGTGACGTACACGGACTGGGCGCTCGACTCGCCCTACACCATCCAAGGGCTGGCGCTGCTGCCGGGCGCCTGGTCCAACATCATCTGCAACGTCTCCGGCAAAGTCATGTCGCTGTGAGTGCCTCTCATGGCAAAGTGCTGTCGCTGTGAGTGCCTCTCATGGCAAAGTGCTGTCGCTGTGAGTGCCTCTCATGGCAAAGTGCTGCCGCTGTGAGTGCCTCTTACGGCAAAGTGCTGTCGCTGTGAGTGCCTCTCACGGCAAAGTGCTGTCGCTATGAGTGCCTCTCACGGCAACTGTGAGTCCCTCTTTTCCAGACTGCTTGTCTTTTGGGGCACCATTCTTCATGGTCCGGTCCAGGGTGTAATGGAAATCGCAGAGTCGTTTGCCTTTGGGATGCTGTTGTCACTCTCTGTGAGTGTGCTGCTGTGTGTATGTGCGTGTGTGTGCATGTGTATGTGTGTACGCATGTGTGTGGGTTTGTGTGTGCATGTGTGCATGAATGCGTGCATGTGTGTGTGTGTGTGGCTGTTGGCATCTGGCGCAGCAGAGGCTGCAAGGAACGATGCATGCAGACATCACTAAGCTCACTGCCCTCACCTACATGTAAGCACCCTAACCTACCTATAGCCACCCTCACCTACCTGTAAGCCATGCGACTCCCATCTTGCTCTGACTTGCCTCATCTTGCTCTCACCCCATCTCGCGTTGCTCACATCCTCTCCTCACAACATTCTGACCAACTCTACCTGCTCAGCACGCACGTGCTGCCCCACCCACTACCCTCCCCACGCGCTATGCTGCTCCAAAGCTTGCTGCACGTCTCATTCACTCCGTCCTCTCCTGCTTCAGCTCTCTGGCCCATCTCCTTCGCTGCTCTCACCTCGCATGCTATGCCGTGCCGCCCTTCTCTCTACTCGTATGTGCGTCCACCCTGCTGCCGCCGCAGTAATCTGCGCTCCAACTTCCTGGAGGGTCGGCTGGACGTCTTTGCACTCAACTTCAAGGCGCTCACGTCGCTGAAAGAAGCGTGAATGGCAGGCAGCTGCATGGCACCACCGCATTAGCTTGCCTTGCCTTGGACATCCTTCTTGCCGCAGCCTCACCATGTGAGCTCCACCTGCCGACTAGTTTTGAGGCGCCTCAAAACTAGGCTTGCCATGCCTCGGACATCCTTCTTGCTGCAGCCTCACCTTGTGAGCTCCACCTGCCGACTAGTTTTGAGGTACCTCAAAACTAGGCTTGCCATGCCTCGGACATCCTTCTTGCTGCAGCCTCACCATGTGAGCTCCACCTGCCGACTAGTTTTGAGGCGCCTCAAAACTAGGCTTGCCATGCCTCGAACATCCTTCTTGCTGCAGCCTCACCATGTGAACTCCACCTGCCGACTAGTTTTGAGGCGCCTCAAAACTAGGCTTGCCATGCCTCGGACATCCTTCTTGCTGCAGCCTCACCATATGAGCTCCACCTGCCGACTAGTTTTGAGGCGCCTCAAAACTAGGCTTGCCATGCCTCGAACATCCTTCTTGCTGCAGCCTCACCATGTGAGCTCCACCTGCCGACTAGTTTTGAGGCGCCTCAAAACTAGGCTTGCCATGCCTCGGACATCCTTCTTACTGCAGCCTCACCATGTGAGCTCCACCTGCCGACTAGTTTTGAGGCGCCTCAAAACTAGGCTTGCCATGCCTCGGACATCCTTCTTGCTGCAGCCTCACCATGTGAGCTCCGCCTGCCGTTTCACATTCTCAATTCTCCCAGGCCTCGTTCGTTCCCACCCACCCCACCTTCTCCCATGTTGTCCTTGGGATTCTCTTCACCACGACCCCATGCAGGTACCTGGACTTCAACTGGTTCACAGGGCCCATCCCCTCCACCCTTGTGGGCATCGCCACCCTCTCCACCTTGTGAGCCTCCTCTCCACCTTGTGAGCCTCCTCTCCTCCAACCCTCTCATCCTTCATTTCTTCCATCCTACTGAGTCTCCTCCTTGAAGCTCCCTCTTTGCACTCACACACTCTCACACGTGCACCTCCTCCCAACCCACCCACCCTCTCTCCATCAGCGGTGCGAGCTACAACTACCTGTACGGCGCCATGCCCACGCCAGGTGCCGCCCTCAAGACCATCGCGGTGGACGGCAACTGGCTATCGGGCACGTTCCCCGGCACGGGCTTCTCCTCCTGCTCCGCCACCAACAACTGCCTCGCCAGCATCGCCACCTGCACCACGGCCGGCACCGTGCAGCGCGCCGCAGCCGCCTGCGCTGTCTGCGACACCACCGGCGGCTCGGGCACAGTCTGCGGTGGCGGCACGTGCGCGCCCAATACTGCCACGCCTCTCTCCACCGGCACTCCCAACAGCGCCACAGCCGCCGTGCTGCCGCGCTTCTACGTCGGCATGCCGCTGGACGCCACACAGGGCAACATCCTGCTGTCGCTCAAGACCACCCTCGGCATCACCTTCTCTGATTGGACCGCCGCCACACTCGCCGCCCCCAAAGCCACTGGCACGAAGCCCAAGGCGGGGGGAAAGCGGCGTGTGCTGCAAGCGAGGGGGGGGAGGGGGTCGGGGCTGCTGTATGACTGGAAGGCGGTGGGGTCGTGCACCATCGTGGGGCAGACGCCCATCGCTGGCTCCTGGACCGGCGTGCGCTGCTCGCCAGTCGGCCAGATCCTCGCCCTGTGAGTGTTGCCTCTCCTGCTCACCCTCTTTCGTTTCCTTCTCCACCTTACCTTGCTTGTGTGCCGTGGGTGCTTCTCCCAAGCGTCACTGACCTCTCTCCCCTGCCCTTCTCTGCCCCTGCTGCTGCTGCTGTGTGTGCCCGTGGTGCTGTCCGGAACGTGGTGAGCAGGGACCTGAGGAGCCAGCTGTTGAGTGGCACAGTGCACTCCGACATCAGCAAGCTCTCCACTCTCACCTCGCTGTAAGCCGCACCTTCACTGCGCTGTGATCCATCTGCTCATCACATCCCATGCCACCGGCTGTGCTGCTTGCAGCAGCTACCTGCCACCCTCGCAGGCACTGCATGGCAAGCCATGCCCGCCCTCTCTCTCTCTCTCTCTCTCTCTCTCTCTCTCTCTCTCTCTCTCTCTCTCTCTCTCTCTCTCTCTCTCTCTCTCTCTCTCTCGCAGTTGTAGCTTGTTTGCCGCCTTCATCACCATACCCCTTCTTTCACGCCCGCCACCCCCCTTGGCTGTGCATGCAGCCGTATGACGTCCAACCTCTTCTTCAACCGCCTTGACTCCTACATCGTGCCCATCACGCCCACCGCCACTCTCAAGGAGATGTTAGTGCCGCCTCACCTCCGCCCCGTCATCATCCAACCCCCCCTTTCCTCCCTGCATTCTATCTCCTATTTCCCCTGGCCTCTGCTCCCGTGCTCTTCCTTACTTCATTTGTGCTCTCTCTCCAGTGCACCCCAGCCCGGCCCAGCACATTGTTTATTAGCGTGCCGACAATACACCCCATTTGCGTGCATGTGCACGTGCATGTGCTATGCATCGATGTTCATGTGTATGCATACGCATGTGTGCATGTGCGTATGTGTTGTGTGTATGACCTCCCTCATCCCCCATCCCCCACCAGGCACATCAACTTCAACTGGTTCTACGGCACCATCCCCACCATGCTCCTCAACATGCCAGCCCTCTCCTTCCTGTAATGCCACTCTCTACTCCCTGTCCCTCACCCTCCTGACCCACTGCCGCTGTTCCTTTAACGTAGTCTTCTCATCATGGTCGTTGCAAGCTCTTGGCTTCCATGCTCTGACGCGTGGGTTGTTCCGCCATGTGTGCTTCTGTCTGTGTGTGCTTGTGTGCCTCTGTGCGTGTGCATGCCTGTCTGCCTCTGTGTGTGAGTGCCTGTGTGTGCGCCTGTGTGTGTGCCTGTGGGCGTGTGTGCGCGCCTGTGTGTGCGCATGTGTGTGCGCCTGTGTGTGTGCCTGTGCACCTTTGTGAGTGCCTGTGTGTGCGCCTGTGTGTGCGCCTGTGTGAGTGCCTGTGCGCCTGTGTGTGCACCTGTGTGTGCGCCTGTGTGTGCGCCTGTGTGTGCGCCTGTGTGTGCGCCTGAGTGAGTGCCTGTGCGCCTGCCTGTGCGTGCCCCGGTGTGTCCCGGTGTGCCTCTCTCTCTCTGCACGTCCCACAGCATGCTGGGCTACAACTACCTCACAGGCACACTCCCCAAGCCAGGGGCCGCAATTAAAGCCCTGGACACGGAGCGCAACTTCCTCTCGGGCACCTTCCCCACCGCCACGCTTGCCTACTGCTCCGCGCGTGCCAACTGCTTCCTCGACGCTACAGCCTGCTTCAGCATTGATGGTGTGGACCAGCGAGGCGCCGGCTGCAACGTGTGTGGGTCCAGCAACGGGCAGCTGCCGATGTGCGGTGGGGCGGTGTGCACGCCCGACCCCTCGGCGTATGTGGCGTCCAAAGTGCCCAACAGCGGCACCGCGCCCACCCTCGCCCTCAAGTGCCCCGCCCTGGGTGTCGATGCTGTCTCCTGTGAGTGTCTTCCTGCCTGCACCATGCCGTGCCACGGTGCCACCATGTGATGCCACCATGTGATGCCGCCATGTGATGCCACCATGCCATGGCGCCTTGACTTGCACCATGCCACTCTTGGTCTGCAGTGTAATGTGCTACTGTGTGTTGCTACCTGCCGCCTTCCCTGCTTCTCCCATGTCTGTGTGCATGGGATGGGCGTGCACGTTGTGCATGCATGGGCGTGCATGGACGCTCGCTCACTCATGTGTGCATCGGGCTGTCCCCATGCACTCTTCCTGTTCGCAGCGGCGGCGCTGATCAACATAGGGGCGGCGCTGGGAGTGACGCACACGGACTGGAGCACCAGCAGCGGCTGCAACATCATCGGGCAGGGCAGGCCATCGCGCCCAAGTCCTGGCCGGGCGTCTGGTGCAGCGGCAGTGGTGCCGTCGTCTCTCTGTGAGCCTCTCTGCCCTCTTGAGTTTCCCTTTCTCGCTCTCGCTGCCATCTCGTTCCCCAACTATCGCCAGCTTCTGTATCGCTCGCCACTCATGCTCATCCTCTGCCATCCCTCAACGTCCCCACCGTGTGTGATGCCATGCCATGGCAGCGTGTGTGATGCCGTGCCATGGCAGCGTGTGTGATGCCGTGCCATGGCAGCGTGTGTGATGCCGTGCCATGGCAGCGTGTGTGATGCCGTGCCATGGCAGCGTGTGTGATGCCGTGCCATGGCAGCGTGTGTGATGTCGTGCCATGGCAGCGTGTGCGATGCCGTGCCATGGCAGCGTGTGCGATGCCGTGCCATGGCAGCGTGTGTGATGCCGTGCCATGGCAGCGTGTGTGATGCCGTGCCATGGCAGCATGTGTGATGCCGTGCCATGGCAGCGTGTGTGATGCCGTGCCATGGCAGCGTGTGTGATGCCGTGCCATGGCAGCATGTGTGATGCCGTGCCATGGCAGCGTGTGTGATGCCGTGCCATGGCAGCGTGTGTGATGCCGTGCCATGGCAGCGTATTGGACAACATGAAGCTCAGGGGCACCATCCATGCCGACATGACCAAACTCTCAGGCCTCACCTACCTGTATGTGCATGACCTATCTGTATGTGCATCACCTACCTGTATGTGCATCACCTATCTGTATGTGCATCACCTACCTGTATGTGCATCACCTACCTGTATGTGCATCACCTACCTGTATGTGCATCACCTACCTGTATGTGCATCACCTACCTGTATGTGCATCACCTACCTGTATGTGCATCACCTACCTGTATGTGCATCACCTACCTGTATGTGCATCACCTACATGTATGTGCATCACCTACCTGTATGTGCATCACCTACCTGTATGTGCATCACCCACGTGTACGTGCAACCAACCTCGCTCCCAACAGTTACCTATGCATGTGTTCTCTTGTTGGTCCATTCGCTTGTGGGCCTGCAACGCTCTTCTCATACGCTGCTTCTAAACCCTTTCTCCGTTTTCACCCCATTCTCCCCACTATCTCTCCCATTCTCCTCCTCTCCACACTCCCATCCCCCCCCCCTGTGCAGGAGCCTGGGCTACAACCTGCTGTACAACCTACCTGTGTGTGCGCCTGAGTGAGTGCCTGTGCGCCTGCCTGTGCGTGCCCCGGTGTGTCCCGGTGTGCCTCTCTCTCTCTGCACGTCCCACAGCATGCTGGGCTACAACTACCTTACAGGCACACTCCCCAAGCCAGGGGCCGCAATTAAAGCCCTGGACACGGAGCGCAACTTCCTCTCGGGCACCTTCCCCACCGCCACGCTTGCCTACTGCTCCGCGCGTGCCAACTGCTTCCTCGACGCTACAGCCTGCTTCAGCATTGATGGTGTGGACCAGCGAGGCGCCGGCTGCAACGTGTGTGGGTCCAGCAACGGGCAGCTGCCGATGTGCGGTGGGGCGGTGTGCACGCCCGACCCCTCGGCGTATGTGGCGTCCAAAGTGCCCAACAGCGGCACCGCGCCCACCCTCGCCCTCAAGTGCCCCGCCCTGGGTGTCGATGCTGTCTCCTGTGAGTGTCTTCCTGCCTGCACCATGCCGTGCCACGGTGCCACCATGTGATGCCACCATGTGATGCCGCCATGTGATGCCACCATGCCATGGCGCCTTGACTTGCACCATGCCACTCTTGGTCTGCAGTGTAATGTGCTACTGTGTGTTGCTACCTGCCGCCTTCCCTGCTTCTCCCATGTCTGTGTGCATGGGATGGGCGTGCACGTTGTGCATGCATGGGCGTGCATGGACGCTCGCTCACTCATGTGTGCATCGGGCTGTCCCCATGCACTCTTCCTGTTCGCAGCGGCGGCGCTGATCAACATAGGGGCGGCGCTGGGAGTGACGCACACGGACTGGAGCACCAGCAGCGGCTGCAACATCATCGGGCAGGGCAGGCCATCGCGCCCAAGTCCTGGCCGGGCGTCTGGTGCAGCGGCAGTGGTGCCGTCGTCTCTCTGTGAGCCTCTCTGCCCTCTTGAGTTTCCCTTTCTCGCTCTCGCTGCCATCTCGTTCCCCAACTATCGCCAGCTTCTGTATCGCTCGCCACTCATGCTCATCCTCTGCCATCCCTCAACGTCCCCACCGTGTGTGATGCCATGCCATGGCAGCGTGTGTGATGCCGTGCCATGGCAGCGTGTGTGATGCCGTGCCATGGCAGCGTGTGTGATGCCGTGCCATGGCAGCGTGTGTGATGCCGTGCCATGGCAGCGTGTGTGATGCCGTGCCATGGCAGCGTGTGTGATGCCGTGCCATGGCAGCGTGTGCGATGCCGTGCCATGGCAGCGTGTGCGATGCCGTGCCATGGCAGCGTGTGTGATGCCGTGCCATGGCAGCGTGTGTGATGCCGTGCCATGGCAGCGTGTGTGATGCCGTGCCATGGCAGCGTGTGTGATGCCGTGCCATGGCAGCGTGTGTGATGCCGTGCCATGGCAGCGTGTGTGATGCCGTGCCATGGCAGCGTGTGTGATGCCGTGCCATGGCAGCGTGTGTGATGCCGTGCCATGGCAGCGTGTGTGATGCCGTGCCATGGCAGCGTGTGTGATGCCGTGCCATGGCAGCGTGTGTGATGCCGTGCCATGGCAGTGTGTGTGATGCCGTGCCATGGCAGCATGTGTGATGCCGTGCCATGGCAGCGTGTGTGATGCCGTGCCATGGCAGCGTGTGTGATGCCGTGCCATGGCAGCGTGTGTGATGCCGTGCCATGGCAGCGTGTGTGATGGCGTGCCATGGCAGCATGTATGATGCCGTGCCATGGCAGCGTGTGTGATGCCGTGCCATGGCAGCGTGTGTGACGCCGTGCCATGGCAGCGTATTGGACAACATGAAGCTCAGGGGCACCATCCATGCCGACATGACCAAACTCTCAGGCCTCACCTACCTGTATGTGCATCACCTATCTGTATGTGCATCACCTACCTGTATGTGCATCACCTATCTGTATGTGCATCACCTACCTGTATATGCATCACCTACCTGTATGTGCATCACCTACCTGTATGTGCATCACCTACCTGTATGTGCATCACCTACCTGTATGTGCATCACCTACCTGTATGTGCATCACCTACCTGTATGTGCATCACCTACATGTATGTGCATCACCTACCTGTATGTGCATCACCTACCTGTATGTGCATCACCCACCTGTACGTGCAACCAACCTCGCTCCCAACAGTTACCTATGCATGTGTTCTCTTGTTGGTCCATTCGCTTGTGGGCCTGCAACGCTCTTCTCATACGCTGCTTCTAAACCCTTTCTCCGTTTTCACCCCATTCTCCCCACTATCTCTCCCATTCTCCTCCTCTCCACACTCCCATCCCCCCCCCCTGTGCAGGAGCCTGGGCTACAACCTGCTGTACGGCAGCCTCGCCACCTTCGCCTCCAACATCATGCCGCTCACCTCCATTGTCACCCTGTGCATCCCCTCGCCTCTTCCTTCTCCTCTCGCCACCTTGTTCCGCCCATGCCTCACCGCCTCTTCTAACACGCCCCGTTTGCTTCTTCATACATCATTTCCCTTGCTCTGAATAGACCCTTCCACCGCCGTCTTTTCACCCGCCTAGCTCACCCACACACCATCCAACTCCCTTTTTTTCCCGTTGCCGCCCTGCATGTGCATCCGACCTACCAGGAACCTGCACGCCAACTACCTCTACGACAGTGTGCCCTCCACGCTGCTCAACATGGCGTCGCTCACAGAAATGTCAGTTCCGAGCCACCACCACACCACACCAGTGACACCTACAGGCAGCATACATACGCCACGCACCACCACGCGCCACTTCCCTTCCACAAAGCCTGTCCACACGCAGCTATCCAACTTGCTCTCCCATTCTTCACTCTATCTTCCGTACAGCCATGTATCCACTCACGCACCATCCATCTCCCATGTGCCCCGTGCAGGCGGCTGTTTGCCAACTACCTCACGGGCTCACTACCCGCCGTGTCCACCAAGCTCAAGTACCTGGTCGTCAACAACAACTTCCTCGCGGGCGCCTTCCCCTCACAGGTGTTCAACTTCTGTTACGTGCGCAGCAACTGCTTCGCCTCCCCCGGCACCTGCACCAACACCAATGGAGTCGCCCAGCACACCTCTGGCTGCGCCATCTGCACCACCACCAATGCTGCCCCGCCCCTGTGCGGCGGCGCTCCGTGCGTTCTGAACGCGTCTGCTCCTCTGGCGGCCGGCACGGTGAACAGCCTCACAGCCGCCTTGCAGCCGTTCTACTGTGGCCCCGCCACCATTGATGCCACTACTGGTGAGACGACATGCGCTGCCTGCCTGCATGCACACATGCACGCCGTGACACGCACATGCATGCTCTGCCACACACATGCACGCCCTGCGACACACAGTGCACCTTGCCTCTTTCACCCGGCTCTCTCCTCACCACCCTCCCTGTGTCTCGCACCTCTCCCACTCCCCCCAATTCCTTTCCCCACCCCCTTCCCCCCGGCGCGTGTGATAACAGCGCAAGCACTGCTGGTGCTGAGGGCGGCACTGGGGGTGACACAGAGCAACTGGTTGGTGGACTTGCCGTGCGACATTGCAGGCAACCCTCCCATGCCCGGCAGCTGGGTGGGCGTCGCCTGTGACACTGCTGGCCAAGTCGTCTCCCTGTGAGTGCCGCGCCCCATGCATGCATTCATGCATGGTCGTGCATGCCCGTGAATGTGGTGTGCCACGAATGCTTGGGGAAATTATGGAGGATGGGGTGTTGAGCTCTGGTGACTTGACTGCTGTTCACAGACCCACCATTGCTCCAACCATCGTGCTTCCTTCTCCTCCATGATTCTCCGTGATGGCGTGGCGGCATGGTGTTGTGGCGGCGTGATGCCCTTGTGTGGTGGTGGCATGCTAACGTGATGTCCTTGTGTGGTGGTGGCATGCTGACGTCACTGCAGGGAGCTGCCCAGCAGCGGGCTGAGAGGGAGTTGCCTGCTGACATCACCAAGCTCACTGCCCTCACCAGGATGTAAGCAGCCCCCCCGCTGCACCCGCACCCACACGCGTCACCCATTCAACACACGCATACCCACCCTCCTCCTCTGCTCTCCGTGCTGCACGCAACATGCTCATACATGCGTATGCCATGACCATGCGCACCAACCACCCCCTATTCTTCCTCCCTCTCCTCGCCCTTTCCCCCCCATTCCTTCCCCCCCAATTCCTTCCCCCCCATTCCTTCTCCCCCCATTCCTTCCCCCCCATTCCTTCTCCCCCCATTCCTTCCCCCCCATTCCTTCCCCCCCATTCCTTCTCCCCCCATTCCTTCCCCCCCATTCCTCCCCCCCCATTCCTCCCCCCCCAATTCCTTCCCCCCCAATTCCTTCTCCCCCCATTCCTTCCCCCCCATTCCTTCCCCCCCCATTCCCTCCCCCCCATTCCTTCCCCCCCCCCATTCCCTCCCCCCCATTCCGTCCTCCCCATTCCTTCCCCCCCATTCCTTCCCCCCTCATTCCTTCCCCCCCATTCCCTCCCCCCAATTCCTTCCCCCCCATTCCTTCTCCCCCCATTCCTTCCCCCCCATTTCTTCTCCCCCCATTCCTTCCCCCCCATTCCTTCCCCCCCCATTCCTTCCCCCCCATTCCTTCCCCCCCATTCCTTCCCCCCCATTCCTCCCCCCCCCCCATTCCCTCCCCCCCATTCCTTCCCCCCCATTCCTTCCCCCCCATTCCTTCCCCCCCATTCCCTCCCCCCCATTCCTTCTCCCCCATTCCTTCCCCCCCATTCCTTCCCCCCCACACAGCAACATGGCGGGCAACCTCTTGGAGGCGCGGGTGGGCGAGTGGGCCACGGGGCTCTCCACGCTCAAGGCGCTCAAGCACCTGTCAGTGCCCGCCCCGCCCAGCTTAACCCCCCTGCCCACCTTGCTTGCGCGCCCCGCCCTGCCCTCCATTCGCTTCCTACCCTCAATTCTCTCCCTTCCCTCCCTTGTTGCCCTTCCTGCCCTCCATACCCTGCCTCTTGACTTGTTGACTTATAGCCGCATTGCCACCCGCCCTCCATCCCCCTTAACTGCGTCGTTTGCTTCTTCCTCACCCATTTCCATCCCTTGCCCCTCCACCCTCCTCTTTTGTCACCCCTCATGCAACAGCGCTCTGAACTACAACTGGTTCTCTGGCCCTCTGCCGTCCTATCTGCTCACCCTCTCAACCCTCACCACGCTGTAAGTGAGACACACACACACACACGCACACACACGCACACACACACACATGCACGCACGCACACACACACACGCATGCACGCATGTACTCATGCGCGGACACACAGACTCACACACTCAACCTCGAGCCACTCTAATCTGCCAACCCCACATCCCAACTTCTCCACCCACCACACATGTGTGTCACTCACCATCTCCCTCTTCTTCTCCCTCTTCTTCTCCCTCTTCTTCTCCCTCTTCTTCTCCCTCTTCTTCTCCCTCTTCTTCTCCCTCTTCTTCTCCCTCTTCTTCCTCTCCTTCTCCCTCTTCTTCTCCCTCTTCTTCTCCCTCTTCTTCTCCCTCTTCTTCTCCCTCTTCTTCTCCCTCTTCTTCTCCCTCTCCTTCTCCCTCTTCTTCTCCCTCTCCTTCTCCCTCTTCTTCTCCCTCTTCTTCTCCCTCTTCTTCTCCCTCTTCTTCTCCCTCATCTTCTCCCTCTTCTTCTCCCTCTTCTTCTCCCTCTCCTTCTCCCTCTTCTTCTCCCTCTCCTTCTCCCTCTCCTTCTCCCTCTTCTTCTCCCTCTTCTTCTCCCTCTTCTTCTCCCTCTTCTTCTCCCTCTTCTTCTCCCTCTTCTTCTCCCTCTTCTTCTCCCTCTTCTTCTCCCTCTCCTTCTCCCTCTTCTTCTCCCTCTCCTTCTCCCTCTTCTTCTCCCTCTTCTTCTCCCTCTTCTTCTCCCTCTTCTTCTCCCTCATCTTCTCCCTCTTCTTCTCCCTCTTCTTCTCCCTCTCCTTCTCCCTCTTCTTCTCCCTCTCCTTCTCCCTCTCCTTCTCCCTCTTCTTCTCCCTCTTCTTCTCCCTCTTCTTCTCCCTCTTCTTCTCCCTCTTCTTCTCCCTCTTCTTCTCCCTCTTTTTCTCCCTCTTCTTCTCCCCATCTCCCTCCTACTCACCACCTCCCCACCTCCCTGTCCCTCACCTCCCCTTCCTTGTTCAACAGCAACCTGCACTTAATGGTTGCGCCTAATGAGCCACGTCGACCTCGGGATACTAGCCCGAGGTCGGCTTCGCGAAAACCACATGGACAACGTTTGCGCACCCTGCAAAACTTCATCAGACACGGTCGACCAGAAGAAGCCGCCGACGCCCAGAAGTCGGCGGCCCCCAAGTTGGCGTCCACGGGTCGGCGCCCCCCCAAGACGCCGGCGAGCACTTTAGTTGGCCATCGGCGCCAACATCACCTCGTCGACCAACGCCACTGCCGACTTTGCCAAAGTCGGCTCCATTGTAGCCGGCTTTCTTGAAGTTGGTTAACCAGCAAGTTGGCTAACCAAGCCAACTTGCTCTTCCAAGTCGGCTAACCAAGCGACTTGGCCGACCACGAAGTCGGCTCCTTTTCCCAACGAAGTCGGCGTCACAGTGGTCGGCTTCGCCAAAGTTGGCTGACCGTCGAAGTCGGATCTGCTGAGGTCGGCCAACCTAACCGACTTGCTCCCCAAGTCGGAGCCGACCACAGAGCCTAGCCGGCTGCACACCTTGCACGTCGGTCAGCAACGTCGGCTTCGTCCAAGAGAGGGCGGGGACAAACCTCTATCAACACTCCCCTGCCCAGCTCACACTTCGTAACCCACACACAAAGTTCAACCAGAATCCAAGAGATAGAATAAACTGAGAGATTTGTCGGCCTGCACACAACACACAGCATGTTGGTCACCACACAAGACGTGTAGAAAGGCACGGCGCCTACTGCTGCACGCCGTCGTCACCGTCGCCGACGTCGGCCAAACGCACTTGGCCGGTCGCGATGGAGCAAAGAGGCCGAAAAGTGCAGCGCCTTCGTCATGAGGTCGGCTGGCTGCTCGATGGACGGGATGTACCGCAAAGCAATCTTCCCGTCCTTCACCATCTGCTGCAGCCAGGCGTAGCGTCGTGCGGAGAAAACTGCTGCAACGGGAGCTAGACTACGAGCTAGGCACGTGTGCTCGTGTGATCTCTGCGTTCGTTCACTTAGTCATTTCCTTGTGTTTACGCTTCTTGCTAGTTCACGGGGAGAATTGGCAAGAGTTTCACTAGGAAAACATGACATCAATAATACAATGAAGTTGGCAATGCAAGACTACATCAGAGCTAGCATTCAGGTCGGCCAACTGCCAGCGCAGCTTGGTCGACCGCGTTCCACGACTTGGTCGACCGCACTCCAGCAAGGCAAGGTCGACGGCGTGCCAACGTCGCAGGTTGATGGCGTACCAGCATTGCTCATGCAGGACAGCAGTGCACCCGCTTCGCAGGTCCGCGCAGATGATTGGCGTGCAGAGTCTCGTCACCTGCACAGCGCAGACACCACGTCAACCTCGAGCTGACGACTGCCTCTGATCCGCCACGACGACCTCGGGATACCACCACCGAGGTCGGTCTCGCCAACTTCGCCTGGGCGACCGTCGCACTCCTCCACAGCACTTCGTCACCCAGGTAACCTGGTCGACCGGGCAACCACGTCGACCAGCAGCTCCCGTACGTGCCTGTCGACCTCCCAAGTCGACGACCACCTCCATGTCGACCTCACCGAGACGACCACGCCCCTCGGTTGACCTCCTCCAGGTCGACGTCCCTTCTGGTCGACCAGCTCCACGTCGACCAGCACTAAGTCGGCCAGCGCAGTTGTCGGCCGACCACCCACGTCGGCCACCCGAAGTCGGCGTCACGAAGTTGACGCCCCGCTACTCGACGCCCAACTGCTCGTCGTCCAGAGTCGCGGTCGACGTCGGCCCCTCCTTCGTCGACCACCAGGTCCAGTCGACCACCCAGAGGTGGACCAGCAGTCCATCAGCCGACCACCGAAGTCGGCTTCCCCGAGTTGACGTCACCAAGTTGACGTCCTCCGCAGGTTGACTCCTAAGTCGACCTCCCCGAAGTTGGCGCCACCCTGAAGTCGGCGCCCGTGCAGTGGTCCCCGTGCAGGTCGACCTCCTTGTCAACCAGTTCGCCCACTGCTGCAGGTCGGCTGCTCCCCTAACACCCGACCACGATGTCGGCTCCGCCCAAGCGAGGACGGGGCCAACACACAACTACCGTTGACACTCCCCTGCCGCGTTCACGCTTGGGCACCCAGCCCACATGGCAGTACAGCTCCAAGAATAGCCCATCGGCGTGCACCCAACACACAGCACGCCGGTCACCGCACCAGCCATGCAAGAGGGCATGGCACCTACTGCTGCACGTCGTTATCGCCGTCGCCCACGTCGGCCAAGCGCACCTGGCCGATTGCGACGGAGCACCGGTTGTGTTATGTGATGCTATCATTTGCATTCACGTCTGTCTGCCTCCCATCATGTGTTCGTGCGTTGCATGTGTGAAATGAGCGTGCGCAAGAATTTGTGTTTTTCTGTGGTTTGGATTTTCTGAGTGTGTGTGAATGTTATTTGGCTTGAGCAGATATCTGAAGTGACTCCACTGCTCAAGATCTTTCCGACGAGCCAAGAATCGTCGCGATCGGAGCAATATCAAGAAAGTTACGAACGTTGGAGTTCGTATGCTTTCTGTACTTCGGTTGTGGCGACTATGGGAAGTTGTGGGGTTGACTCAATATGGGGTACAGACTTTTGGGGGTTGGGAATTCGAACCCATCACTGTAGAATGCTGCCATGTGGTTGGGTGAAGCCAAACCAGGTTGGCAAGTGTGGCCAAGTGGGTTGAGGTGGATGGCATGAGTTGGGAAAGTGACAAATGTGAAAGTGGGGTTGCCTATGGGGAAGGGAATTGTGTGGCATGGGGTTTCCTTGGTTGGGGAATCTCTTGGGACCTTCCCTCTCGTCCTCCTCTTCCCTCCTACCTGGTTTAGTGCTACCCTAACTCTCTTGTGTAAAACTTTGTGGAACTTGTGAGAACCATTGTGATTGAGTTAAGCATGTGGCAGCATAACCCTAGTGCGCCAAAATTGATAACTCGAGAAATACTCCACCTTATCACACGATTCAACTTGGGAATTGTAGCCATGGATTAGAGCTACAACATATCTGAAATTCGTGAAGTTTTGACGGTCCGTTTTTCGTCGACGGCGTTTCTTGTGAACTCGACGATTCTGTCCAGAATTTCAAGCCAACGATTTTGAGAAATTTAGGCTCCTAATCTTCATTGACTCCGTCCTTAGTCTTTAACAAGTGGTATCAGAGCTGATTAAGGACCTTGTGGGGAGTCTACTGAAGTGTGAAGACCCTCCTAGACCCAACATGGCCTGTGGGCGTGCCTAAGTGGAGTTCTGGAGGTTGGATGTGACTTCCGCTAAGGGGAAACTCTGCCGAAATTTCGTTGGCGCCGTCACTTGTGAAAATATTGTGGATCTACATTGTGACCAGCAAAAGGGGGAGCTGAAACCTCTGATTGGGAGCAGAGGAGATGAGTGGAGAAGCAGCTGAGAAGAAGAGTGAACCGCCACCGTCCAAGATCGAGGCTTTGGACGGCTCCAACTACGAGGAATGGAGCGGGCGGATGCGGAGCGCTTTCAAGCGCTACAAGCTGCTGAAACTTGCGATGGGAGAAGAGAAGATGCCGGAGGAAGGTGATGCCCGCGACAAATGGATTGAGAAGAGCGCGGTGCTGTACGACCTAATCCTTCAATCGGTCAACAATGATATGTTCCAGCATATCAAGGACCTAGTGGAGCTGGACGACTCCGGGCCTAAGGCGTGGAAGCTGCTACGCGACGTGGTTCAACCCAACACGCTGCCGATGGTGATCGTATTGGAGAAGGAGTTGGCTGCCCTCTCCATGCGGCCGGGAGATGATGTGAAGCCGGTCCTTGACAAGATCAAGGACACCTATGCGAGGATGGCAGCGGCGGGCAGCGAAGTGTCGCAGATGCAACAGTGCACCAAGATCATCTCGGTGCTCGACAACTCGTGGGACAACCTCATCCCCACCCTCAACGTTCAGCAGGACAAATGGACGCCTGAGTGGCTACGGCAGCAGATCCTGCAGGAGGACTTCCGCAGGCGCCACACTGGAGGTGGTGCTGCCAACAAAACTGCTGAGGGGTATGGAGCTGCAGGAGGCAGCAGAGGGAGAGGGGGAGGGAGAGGCCGAGGCCGTGGGAGAGGCTTTGGCAGAGGAAGAGGCCGAGGTGACTACAATGAGGGGCATGGGAGCTCTGGTGGCAAGGGGAGTACCCGAATGGAGGGTGCGTGCTGGTACTGCAAGAAGGCTGGACACCCATGGTTCAAGTGTTTCAGCCGGCCTGAAGGATGGGCGCCTCCAGGCATGAAGCCGCCAAGTGGTGAACGTGCACGAGGTGGTGCTGTGCAAGGTTCAGGTGCACAAGGTGATGGTGCACAAGGTAAAGCCGACCCTGGTATGTTCCTCATGGTTGAGGACGTGCAAGAGAGTGGGGGTGATGTGGGTTCAGTTGGGAAGGTTGTGATGCACCCCCTCACTCACTGGGTGATCGATTCAGGTTGCACGAGTCACATGACTCCACGGGCAGATTTGCTTGATGAGGTGAAGCCCCCTGGGAAGATAAAGTTTGTGGCTGCCGCTTCAGGTGCCTTGCTCCCTGTGATTGGTGTTGGGAATGCCAAGGTTATGGGAGCTAATGGGGGGCTTGTGGGGCTGGGAAATGTGCTGTTGGTTGAAGGTTTATCTGTTAACCTCCTCTCTGTGCGCCGGCTGCAGAAAAGCAAGGCCAAAGTTACGTTCGGCCCAACCAGCTGCCGTGCAAAGCTTGGGAAGTTGCTGCTGTGGGATTTGGAGGAGAAGAGCAGCTGCATCAAGGACCTGTGGCAGCTGCCCATCATCCCTTGGAATGGGAAACCTCCAGCAACGGCAAAGGCAGCGGCAGCGGCTAAAGCAACTGCGGGAGGAGAGGAGACTGCACCAACTGCTGGGGCTTTGGATGCAGTCAAGAAGGTGCAGCAGCCACAGCAATCACATGGTGAGGTGCTTGCTGGTGTGGATGCAACGGCTGCATGGGCAAAGGCTTCTTCTGGGAGTGGTGAGGCCGATTGGGAGACGTGGCACGAGAGGTTGTGCCACATC